CACCAGGTATTTCCCTATAAACTTCCAGAACTTACCATCTGTTAAAGGGAATGGTGGCCAGAAAGTCCTAACTGATTAGCTCTTGTCCACAGAAAAATCTCTGGTTTTTCATTTATTACCATTTGTTTTATTTTTATAAGTCATTATCAATTAAAGGAGTAAAATAAATTATTTTTTTAACCTGTCTAAAAAACCTCTAATATAGCAGCTAAAACTAAGTCATGTTTTCCATGATATTTATTACCCCCAAGCAGATCCAATTTTCATTGCCCAAAAAATAGTACAACAGGGATTGAAAAATATGTGCTGATTTGCCTGGGTGCTAAAAGCATCACAAATAATTTTGATTAATGTGTCTTGACACTGAATGCATTAGCCTTACAATATTCTTCTTGCTTAAAGGCTAATTAGAATTCAAGTCAGTGTGATACCTGCTTTTGAGGATTATAGCAGGAACATTTGTTGTAATAAGAACCTCCAGGCAGCCAGTTTTGGTAATGATTGATTTGTAAAATTATTGACGGGGAAAAAAAAGAATGAGAAAGTAGAGTCTGTCTCCAAAATACTTATTTCCCTTAAGGATCAAATTTGTATAAATTAAAACATCTTGGTGGCTGTGATGAAAATGAACTACAATAGCAGGTTTATTTAAAATCCAGAAAATAGATCTGATTTTTTTTCTTTCTGTAGCAGGATTACATCATGAAAGCACATTCAGTCTATTTATTGGAGGTTTCATTGTGGCTGCTAAAAATCTCTGATTTCTAGTTGTATGAGTGTCCTAATTGGACTCTTAAATTACTCAACTGCTCAGACACACTTCATACAAGCAGGAAATAATTATATGTAAAATAACACAATGTTATCCTTTTAACCAGTATTTCTTTCTTTCTTTTTTCTTTTAGGAATTCATTCCACATCCTATGTTATTTCCAAAAAAGTAACTTTCCTCTGCTATTTCTAAAATGTGATTTGATGTTTCTAAGGAAAGAACCTCATCTCCAGTGGATTTTGAAGATAAGTTTCCATTAGATTACCGAACACTACACCAAATCCTAAGAATGCCAAGTACACGTTTCCGCCACCTGTAAAAGTCAGTCCTCCTGTGAGCGAGTGTCAAGGAGGACTTCATACAATGGGGTATAAGGAGTCACTTACTGTCTTGTACCCTCCCAATCCTCAAGTTCTTGATCAGAATGTCAAATTTTCACTAATGTGGAGGCCAGAGAAAAAATATCAAGCTTTCAGGGAAAATACTGTAAAAATGTCTTTGCCACCTAAATGACTTGTTTTTTTTCTGATTTGGTATAATTTTTACCACATTATGTCTCCCTACTATATTAATTTTACTGTATTATGTAAATTTTTTCCAATTTATCTTCTAGATATGATGAGATAAACTCATGGTCTATGCTGAATGTTGTATTTCCTCATCCTTTGTTACTGGAATATGTTTGGGTTATAGGAAAAGGGGCATAGTGTGATGTCATGTTTCAAGAGAAAGCAGATGATCTTACTGCTCTTAAGGTAACATTCACCCATCACTGCAAAGGAGTTTTCAGAGCTTACGCTCTGTGTATTAACCTGTAGGGGATAAATGGCTTCACGTTCTCTGGGTTAAAATTACTCACATGACGAAAGACTACATAGAACAGGTGCATAACCAATGTTTCCAATATTCTGAGCTGCTCCAAGAGAAAGAAATGACAATACCTACATTTATATAGTATTTACTAGAAGCTTGGCAATATTTTAGGAGCTTCACATATAATAATTCATTTAATCCTCACAACAGTCCTCTGAGTTATATGGAATGGTGACTCCTGATTGTAAGGAAACCAGAGCACAGAGAGATTACGTATCTTGCCCAACACCGTGCTACAGCCTCACGAACTGGTGAGGGCAGGACCAGGATCTGCACAGCGGCAATCTGGGTCTAAAGTCAGGGCTCTCGATCACTGCCCCATTATTAGGGCAGTGTCATCGTCAAAGGGGGAAGTAATGCAGTTACACTTTTCAAAATAAGTGAGGAGAGAAAAATTTTTAAAAAGTAAGAACTTTGAATCTTACTCTTTTATGTGGTTTCAGAAAAGCTAGTTACAGTAAGTTTTACCCATGAAAAACATATTTGAAGACTTATTTATAAAAATAATTTTCTGAGCTCAAATCTTATTCCAGAAGATCAATGTCTGCATGGTACATTGTGCATGAAGTAATTTAATTTTCCCAGTTGAACATCCTGACACTATATGAACCATGAACACGTGAAATAGAAATCCCACATGTCTTCCACATGGTCAGAGGACTTCACAATACTTGTGCAGGAAGCTTAAGAGTGGTTTGAAATTAAGTTATGCCAGTTCTTAGTGACTTTTATTATGTATGCCTAAGGCGTTAGCACTTTTCTCTGAGTGGGACCCTGAGGTGATAGACAGATGAGACTGCTGTCTGTATTTAGGCCCTTTGCTCATTTCCTGAGAGCTGTGTGGAAGGCATTTGGATTCTCATTAAGTTTCCAACCATTCCCCGAGAGCAACAGGTGGCAAATCAAAGCTTCCCTGGTATGTCATGGCTGGTTTCCTCAAGGTCTTGGAAATACCCGATGGCTCTTGCATGCTCTCTGCAGTACCAGCAGACAAGAAGGAGACGAACAGCAACAGGAAGTATTTCCAAAGCATAAACAAACATACCAGTCTAGGAAGGTTATGACTGACGTTCTGCTACCACACATTCTAAATCCATACATGGTGGTTTCATCTTTTGAATATTGGTACTCATTCAAACTATGAAATTGTGGCTAACTGTCCTGGGGTTGGCTACCTAACAGAGGGAAGGCATATAAAAGGAATGAAGAACATACCAAGTTAATGAAGCTATAGCATAAAACTATAAACTTTCAACTCATGTATAAACATCCACTGACCACTCATGACTGTTACGTGTTCTTAAATGTCTCCTTTACAAAATTATTTATACTGAGCACCTATGACACTATAAGGAAAATATATGGCTCACTTCCTGAGCTGGAGCGAGAAGACAAAGCTTGTTAATCTAAAAACAGTATCTGTGATTTAAATCCAATACTGGATAGTTACCCAACAGTAGAAAAGCATCTCCAGTGAATGACGAAAAAATGTTCAACTGATAGCTTCTTGTCACTAGTCACTTTGCAAGGTTAGAAAAGCAAACCTTGTTTTTCTATATGATCTTGACAAAACTTGGCAATTTTCTATGATCCTAGGAATCAAAGCATTTACTTGAGATGGCAAATTACCAACATCCTTCTCTACTTAAAAAAGTTCAAAACCTTCAGACGGCCCCACAGAGGATTAGAAGCGCCCTGGAGGACTTTTCTTGGTGGAGGACGTGAAATAAATAAAAGATAACGATAATAAATGGTCATAACTGACATTGTTTTTTGTTTTGGAGGGAAATAAACCCAATACCTTCACCCTAGTGTACTCTCTCTCACCAAGCAAGTGCCTTCCTCACAGGAGAAGGGACAACTGGACTTCAACGCAGTGCTGAGCGTCCTGTCACACGACCTGGCATTGGCCACACAGCTCTGCTTGCCTACAAGTGCTGCAGAAAAGCCGGCCCCAGTCCTTCCAGAGTGGCCCTCCTTGTAAATGTCTTCCTCCTTTCTTATGCTACCAAGCTCTTCTTAACTAATGCTGAACACAATTTTCTTAAATTTGTTTTAAAATCTATGATCTTTCAATCATTTGTAAAATGCTCCTTTTTTTTAATATGTGGGAATTACTAAGAAACTACCATAAATTAACTCTACAACATGAAATCACATACTAATTTATTAAGCTACTTTGCTAAATCTCAAATGATGAGGAAATGACTGATTCTTGAGTAAGCTGTTGTCATAGAGTGCACTTTTTCATTGAAGATGCCAAAGACTAAAAATATATTAAAAGGATATATCTGAACATCTACGATACTAATCTGGAAATAGCAAACAAAAAGCAGAATGAAAATTTCCGAGTGTCAACCTGGAAGACATAGCTTTCATGTCTGTTAATTATACCAAATATTCTCATAAAATATTATATACGATACCATACAATGTCTGGGAACTCAACAGTTTAACATATTATTCTAAAATTATATGATTTCATGCAACACACCTCAAACACAACCTTCATAAAACAGTATACACAACCCTCACACTGAAACTGGGAATATTAATTTTACAGAGGTCTGATGCACTCTAGAGATTAATTCAAAACTCTGTAAGATGGGAACAGTGTAAGGAAAAATCTACTTGATACATTACCTTATCAAATAGTTCTAGAATTTAAAAAAGAACTTTAAAATAAGATGCTGATTTTACAGAAGCAACTACGGTGGAGGAAGCGAACTTTTAAACCTCGTCAGTTGCCATGTGAAATTTTTACACGGTTTAAAAACATGTGAAACAACGTTTCCAAACTAAGCTTTCAGCAGTTACTTCAAAAGACACATAAAAAGTTGACAGGAATAGTATGTGGGTCAAAACGGTTTAGCAATACGATGTATACGCTGCAGTGAGAATTACCGACAGGAAGTGGAAGCACAAAACACTGTAGCGGGATTATCATAATGGGTGAATCATGAAACAGCTGCCTAAATGTTGGATTCATGGGGACACTGAGACTTTAATTTCTGGTCAGAATCTAATAGGATCTTAAGTATAAAATTTAAATGTGAAAGTAGACTTTCTAGACTTTAAAGAATTCTTGTGACTTCAAACGACGTGGCTTTTACATTCATTTCAGGGGCATAGTAGGTGCCCAAATAGCAGAATACATCGTCCAGATAGCAATGGCAAACTTTAGAAATATGTGCTTAATTTTTAACTAAAAATTTTAATTGGTTGAGATGGCTGGTGAGAATTTAAAGAACAGGACTATATTTTTAGTTTTGATTTTTTTTCCTATTTTCCTCCCATTTTTGTGATGCTCACGATTACAGTTCTATGAAGCCAAGACTGTCAATGCAGTATTTACCTTTATCCCCGGAAGTCCAGGAAGGCCAGGCAGCCCTGGTTCACCCTACACAGGAAAATCACACAGCATTATAGGACAACAGTCACTCAGGCATGGCGCCTGGAGAAAACATGGCAAATGCTCCTAGCTGAATACTTGGTATAGATATGCACTGTATATATATAAGTACTGTCTAGTTTCAAGAAGTGTATACAGTTCAGTCAACTCTTGATTCAGGGACTGGCTGACCATTTTGCAGATTTTTCAGGGTTTTCCCTCTTCCTGCCAGTTCACTGCTCATAGAAGGCAAGGAAGAGTAGAAGGAGAACTCCTGTGTTTTGCTACTCCCCGGTGAATGACTTGTTGGGGAGGCTGAAGCTATTTGCTGAAATGAGGATTCTGCATACATTTGAATAATGCATCTTATTCCTCTGCTCTCTTACCTCAGATAATCAAGAGTTGGCTGTATGAACAGATGGTCACATCAAAACAAGATACACTAAAAGTCTTGCTCACTTAAAAGTATAGTAAGATTTCTTTTCCATTCCTGAATGATGAGAAGATAAACGCATGGTTAAGATTATACTTAACTCCAGCCCATATTTCTAACAATTGTTGGGTCTGGGTAACCCTGCTTAGCAATTTAGGGCTAATGGTCCCATGCAGCTGTTCCTGAATGCAGGTTTGAGATTAAGTGGCACATTGTGGGCGAGCACACTGGAGTCAAGCTAGGTCTTCTCATTTTCACAGAATAGTCTATATTATTTTAAGTACAAAGTATAGTGAAGAGAGGTTACATTTCTCAGAAAACCTCTCAAATTCCACTAAGGAAGCATAAGAAAATCGCCAGAGAAAATGCAAGTTCATCCTGAGTTGGAACTGAGGTGACTATTATTTGTGGAAATAACATTTGAAAGTTTCATGATGGTCAGTCAGTGGGAAGACAGCTTTACTAAAAGATTAACAATAAAAGTGGCAGACAAGCCTTTCTTTTAATCTAAAGTTTTAACAATTCTCATCCTAAGGAAAATCTACTAAGAACAACCAGACGTTTCATCTTTAATGTTATCACTTTCAAATTATGAAGAGCCATGATTTGCTCTGGTATTATCACAAAATGACGTCAGACGCTGTCTATTAAGCTGTATGGTTAGACATAGAAAGGGCAATGACTTTCCTGATGGCTTAGGTCAAAGGTGCTTCAGGAATGCAAAAGAAATCTATTCTGTCTGAAACTATATATGACAATCTGCATTCTGAACAATAAGACTAAGAGGAGATTAAGCCAGAGAAGAAAGGATGATTATTAAGAATTTGATATTCCATTCAAAGAATATTGTTCATGTAGACTAAACTTTACACAGATACAACATCGGACTTTTGCTTTTCCTTTTTCTTTCTCTTTCGCCATTCAATAAATAAATCTGGGAAGACCTCGAAAAAGGGCTTGTATCTCCAATTTACTCAAGATTCTTTTTACTGTAAAAAAAGTATAAGGCCCTTGAAAACACAGTAAATTGCAGCAGAATATACAACCAATATAAGTAAACACATCAGTGACAAATCTGTAGTTTTGAATTGTTTTAGGAAAGTCCCTCCAAACTCAGGACAGCGTGTTTGAAAGTTGTGTGCCAATGTATAGGTTGTAACTGCTGTTTCCAACAGCAGTTCCAACCACACCGCATCCCTCCCACCAAATTAAAAGGCTCAATGACTTCTTTAAAGAAAGATATTATACACAGGCATACATAGACACACACCCATGTTTTTTAACAATGAGAAAGATTTACAAGATATTATGGAATATTTTATAACGTAGATTGAATACTTACAGAGACTTCCAGCACTGAGTGTATATATATATATATATATATATATATATATATATGTAGGTTATAAATGTACTTTTTAATGAACAAATATTTCAGGAATTCATATTTCATAGTCTTGGAGTTTTATAAAGTTGACCTTTCCAAATTTATATTTACTTAAAAGTTGACATAATGAAAGATTATAAAATATTTAATGCTACCCTTTGTGAAACATCTCTCAGCATTTTTAGGAAGACATTTCTTCCTATATAAATTCTCTACACCTTAAAGGCTTATCTTTCAATTAAGAGAGAGTTTTTCACTTAATTTTTCCAGTCTTGCCTATTCCTTGGCTCAGGAGCTTCTCTGGGTTGAATTCTTGGGCATGCACAGCCCAAGGTCAGATCTGGGTCAACATTAAGAACTGGTTTGTTATTCCATTTGAAGAATACTTGTCCAAGTAGGTGAACCTTTACACAGATACATCACGCTTCTGGTTTTCTTTTTTCTTTCCCTTTCACTCTTTGCTCTCCATTATAGGAGACCTTGTCTGCTGTCAAAGTCGGCACTCTGCTTTCACTGCAGGTCCCCCTGACAGTGCCCTGTATTTCCAGATACAGTTCAGCTGTGAGGGTCCCTTCCAATGGGTGATCAAGTAATTTTACCCCTTTAAAATTAGAGGATATATTTTAAAAAGATATGGAGAGGTTAAGAAGGAAAAAGTTATGTGATGAAACGGTACTTATTTTATAAAACTACACACTCACTTTACAAACACATATATACACTCTAACTCATGTATCAATTGCACACTCTACTGTTGAGTTTGTATAAGAAAAAAACTATAATGAAATCACTCCTATATTATGAATGTTACTCTAAATAACAAACTTAGATACTGCAAAATACCAGACAGTGGAAAGCTAATCACTGCGTTTTTTGTTCTGTCATGATATCCTCTACTTGTCTGGGAATGTCCCTAATGCAGGACTTAAGTACCAATAGCCCACAACGCGGTTCTGCAATGGTAAGAGAAATGCCATGGAAGATCTCTTGAGCTGATTCTGTACTCACTTCTGTCTGTTATTTTCCAATCTAAGTGAGCAGCGAGCATGGAAATACTTTACTTTTAAAGCGATGTTGGGGTAAGTATTGCCAAATCCAGATATTAGGACAAAGGAAGTCATAAATATTGTGGGAAAGTTAGATTGCGTCAAAGGGTAGAATCTGGCCTAAATATTAATCAAAAAGATGCTGCTCATTTCAGGGCACATATTCATTCAGATAGGTTATAAGTTTTTAATGAAACCACCCCTTCTCTCAACATAATTTAAAACAGGTTTTTAATGAAATACAAAAGAAATCCAATGTTTCCATATGTAAACCTATAAACTTCCAGAAATGAATCTAAACTCTATTTCTAAATAATCATGATAAACCAACGTTTTTTAAGCAAGGAAAACCAATTTGGATCTTCTACTCTGAAAACAGAGGAGTCTTTATGAGATTATAGCAGATTTTTTGGTTTTGTTTCTTAAAAAGACCTAACAGGCCTGCAGACATTTCTTTTAGTATATCATGGATTGAGAGCAGTTTAAAGTTAGCCTGTAATTTTTAAAGATTAAGGGACCTAAAATTAGACCATTGGAGAAGATTAGTTGTTTTTTCAAACCAAAGCAGACCATGGATCTCTGATGACATCACTAATTTCAAACTTCTTACATAAGAATCGGTAGGAAATCTTAGGAACAGAATAGCCAAATTTGCAGAGCTCTGCTGGGCTCTTTGGAAAAGTCTCAACTTTACCTGAAATTGGACCTGATGGATCATTACTCTTAGATTCTTAGTTTCAGGAGAAAAATCTATTTTTAAATTAGAGATATGTTAAAAGACTGTGAAAGACCTTATCAAAAATTACTTTAAGTGTTTAGAACAAAGCAATGACCCTCTCAATGACTTCAGGAATGTGGGAATGTCACTTTACTATGTTTTAAGCCTCCAAACTACTACAGTGCAATTTACTCTCTTTCCCTTTACACTAACGAGATAAATTCTATGTATCTAATCATATTTCCTTCTATAACATCAGCTAATCCTAGACAAAGGCAGAGTCAGGATCTGAAGAGATTTAGCCTAATGTGGAATTCACGTTTACTTGTTTGCCACAATACATCTGTTATCTAAAATCTGACGGCACTGGGCACTGATATCCAGATGCTCACACGATAAACTGCTAACAGTTGTTTCCTGCCTCAGACTCAAGTGAGGATAGGAATCTAAACATATTCACTGCATGTCTTCTCATTTATCACTGGAGCAAAGCACAAATGATAAAAAAATTAATGTATGTATCCACAGATTGGTTAGTCAAAGTGGTTTGGCTAGTGTCTCTAATTAAAATTTAGTTTATGAACAAATTTCTTTGTTTAACATAACATTCACTGCACAGGTAGATGTTAGTCACAAAAAGCAATCAGTAGGGAAGTATTTGAGATGTAAGGAATATAATTTTAAAAGAACTGTCCATCATTCCCTGTTGAGACAGTTTAGTAAATATTCATTACTTCTCATGAAAGACAGAAACATGCAGAGTATCTTAAACATGCAAGATAAATTAGTGGCATTCCAATGCAACCTGTCTTTGTGAGTCTCAAACAGCTCAGACCTTAGTCTACACAGCATCCCTTCTCATGAGCGGAGTGTGCTTCCACGTTTCCTATCGTCAGCATCAACACTTTAAAATGCAAGACGACCAAAACACTCTGCATGCAAAGCATGAAAACTGCATCATTTTGCCACAACTGTTTTCATACTCCACAGTGGATAGCAGATATAAAATGGTGACCATGAGACAGTTAATAGAGATGCACCAGAGGAGAGAGATTACCTTTTGCCCTGGACGACCAGATTCTCCAGGTTCTCCCTGGCCAAACAAAACCAAAAGTGAAAAGGACAGTCTTAGGAGAAATCCCCCAAACCCTCAGGCTCTGGACACTTTCACGGAGACAGCCCAGCCACCTTGATCGCATGCACTTCACTCACTTTTCCTGTTACTCCACATCTCACTAGAAACAGGAAAATTTTTTTGCTGTGTCTAAAGCTCACATACAAGTCCACATTTCCACAAAAACCAATCAGAAAGGGAACAGAAGGCAAGACCTCTTATTTAAGCCTTTATGAGATTTCCAGTAGTTACTCCTTGTTGAGTTTGGAAGCTGATTATTACAGGAGAATAGGAACAGAGTTATAACCATCATCCTTGGTCAAAGGGAAGAGAAACAGAGGCTTATAAACACTGAAACTGTAACTCCTGGCACACAAATACTTCCAAGTCTACAGTTACCTTAATTCCTGCAGCAGACGATCCAGGGTCACCCTATAATGAAAACCATGAGAGATTATTCCATAAGTTCCAGGCACAGGAAACACACACACACACGCAGAGCATTACTGACGGGGTCACTCACAAGAACCCCATGACTAATGCTAACTATGCTCCCTAAGACTTTGTATCAATATGTCAGCTGTTGAGATGTCAACAATTTCCAAGATAAACAATGTACTTGCTAAAATCACGGGTTGACTTTGAAGGCAAAATACATAGGACTACATTCCTTGAAATAAATATAAATACATAAATATGGATCTCTTCCCTTGATACAGTGCTAAAATTGTATTTTAAAGCAATACATTATAATTTTGAGATCTGGAATTTTGGTTTTCTCTATTTCTGGAATTTATTAATGTCACTGGCTATCATTTACTGGGAGATCCTTGACCCTTTTGGTCTTCAGAAAGTCAGGGTTCAACAGACGAAGTCAAAGGGTTAATGATGTCGAGTTGGAAAAAGCCACGCAGCAGGTCAGTTTGTCTTCCTCATGCAGTGCTGTCGCGGTTACAGCCGGCACCCTTTTTTTTCAGCTTTACACTTATTTCATTGTAACCCAGTCACTGGAAAGTTACAGGATGATGGATGACTTGTGGGTGACAGGGACACATGTAAGATCTGAGAGAAAATCTTGAGATAGAATCTGGTTTTCTAAAAGGCACTATATTCCATCCAGATTTCATCGAGGGTGACTACATTTCTAAAGCAAATATGTTATAAATAAGCAGATAAGGATGAGTGGAAAAGAATATGGAGGATAGCTGAGAATGTTGCTCATTCTGAAACGAGGCCAGCAAAGGACCGAGCTTCTCAAGCTCCTTCTAGCCCTCTGTCCCATGAACACGCCAGAAGGAAAAGAAAGGGAGACAACTTAGTCATTTGAGACTCAAGACAGCAGAAACAGCCCCAAGGAGGAAGGCACATATAGGGATTTCCTCAGCAGTCACCTCTGTGCAAATGCTGAAGTTGTTCCAGGCATCTACCTCCTCGTCCTAGCCTTAGGAAGCTGCTCATCAACCTCTTTTAGAGACAGAGACAAGGCCTCAGGCCTGGGTATATGGAGCACTTGTCCCCTCCTTCTATTCCTCTCCTCTCTTCCCATGGCTGGTACCTTTTCTTTCTTCAGTTCTCGGCGTAAGCGTCTTTGCCTCAAGTACCCCTTCACCAACCAACCTAGACACATACCCCTCACACGCACATCTTTCCGCACAGCATCATGCCCTGCTGTCCTGCACAGCTCGCTTCGTAATTACACGACTATGTTTTCTGCCTATTCTTTGTCTGTCTTCATTTGACACTCAGCCACATGTGGAAGATTCAGTGTCTCTTTTTAATCAGTGCCTCGTCCATAGTACATGTTTGATACATACATGGTGAATGAATAAATAAATCTCAAAAAGAATGTTCTAAGCAGGTTGGCAGTCAAGGATCAAAATGAAAAAACCTTTGGGAAGGAAAAAAAGGTTAGGAAGGAGAAGGAAATAATAAATCAGCTTGTTGAGGAAACTGATATATATGTGAGGTTCTTTGACATCTGTGCTATTAACCCAAGGAAAAAGTAAAACATAACAAAATGTAAAGAAGAAAAGGACCTCAAATACTGTCTTATTGTAAAAGGATACTGGTTTCTCTTCCCAACTATTAACATCCAATTGAGTTCTGAATGGGAAGTGAAACAAATGTGGCTAATAAAATAATACTTATTCCTATTTCTATTCAATCAAGTCTGAAAGGCATCAGCACCGATGAATCAGGTCTGCAATATTTTGCACAATAAGACCTTTGCATCCACAAAAACAGCTTTGACTTTGTGCAGTCCCTTCTTCCATCTCATTTATACCTCACAGACTCCCAGGGAATAGGGTAGATAGTACTACTTTCATTTAACAGATGAGGAAACTGAGGCAAGCAGAGGCTAAGTGATTTTTGGACTTCCTACATTCTGTTGCCGTGTTCTTTTTTATTAGAATAAGAAAAGAATTCTTGGTTTATTTCATTTTGACAACAGGGCATAAAGAGTGTAGCAAACGTAAATAAAAGGGAGGGACTTATATTAACTGTAGTTTAAAAACTTTTTTTTCAGTGTTTTAATAGAAAGTGGCAGATAACCCACTGATGGGAACAAGGACTAGATTTAGTTCTCACAGGAAGTAAATGGACAGAAAAGGACAGCTTCCTGAAAGGCTGATTTATTCGTGGAAATTGCAGCAGTTTCATTTGATGGGCAGCTATGAGTGATATTTTAATTCTCTTTAAAAATTAGAACTGTGAACTCTCATGGAATTTTTATAACTTTTCAGTGGCAAGGCAACTGCTGGAAGACACTCACGAGTTAAACATTTTAAAGGATAATGGTGCCAGTAGTGGAAATAAAACAGTCAGTGTTTTAATCCTCACTCCTCTCAGTGAAAACGAATACAGGATTAAAGTAGGAAAAAGCCCAACTGTGTCTTAAGTATACTCCCAGCTTCATGAGTCAGTTGGTTTGGAAACAAAATTTTCCAAACCATAAGTCATTAACGGGAAGATACTTTGAGGAGATACTTAAGATAAACGAATTTGACCTGACTATTGATTATTCAAGCACAGAGAGTATCCGTTTTCTGTCATGATTGTTTTCAAACACAACACTTGGAGTATAATTATATGTATGTGTTAATAAAGTCTATGAGGATAAATGAAGCGAATGTGGTGGCATTTCTATCCTTCATTAATTCACTCAAGAAATATTTACTGAGCAACAGGGATGTGCCAGCCATATTCTGGATGCAGGGATGTTAGGAGCTGGGGAGACAACTGTGAACAACGTAGGTACAAATCCTGCTCTTGTCCTGTGCTTGTGATAATCACTTACTAATATATGTTTACAAAAACACTATTGATTGAAAGCATAAAAGATACTTTCTTTTTCTTTCTTTCCCTTAAAAGAATATGAAATAGAAAGAAACTGTCATGTTTGAGAAATTCTGTGTCACTGTACATACACAGAAGACAAGACAAGCAAATGCACGTTACAAGAAAAAGTTCTACCTTTCAATGAAAATAAACAGCAGTTGAAAGTAAAACAAGTTTTAAGAAGATTATTCATTCAGTAATTATTTACTATCTTCCACCTATGTGCCAGGAGCCTGGATTGCTGTTGGGAACAGAATTGTGAGGCATCATATAGTTTTTATTTATTTGCTTTTTCTTTTCCAGTGAGCTGGATGTCCAATTAAACAAGGAACCACAATAAACTGTGATGAGGGTTATGAAAGGATCATAAAGGGCGCTGTGGGAGCACGCAGTATGTAGCCTAACCAATCCAGAGGAGACTGAAAGGCTGCCCCAGGGAAATGACTTATAATTCAGGTTCCAACGGACTGCAGAATAGATTAGAAGTGGAGAGGTGGGGCTGGACAGAGAGCAAGACGGTTCTGAACTCAGGGATCATATGTGCTAAGTTAGAGAAGGCCCTGCATTGATTGGGGTGGGAGTGAAATAGGCCTTCACATGTGATTTTAAGAATAGAAGACAATTTGGTCGGTGTCATCAAATATGGGTGTTGCTTCTAAAAAGGCTCACAGGATGCAAATCAATGATGCTATCTATGTAGGTGTAAAGTAAGAAGGCAGCATATTTGTAGGAATGAGACTAGGGGAGCAAAAAAGATGAAGAGACGGACAGGTGATACAAGAAAGTGAAGCTTCTTAACTGACAGATAAAATTGTGAATAACGCAGTGGCGTGAGCAAACCATTCGACGCGCTGCACAAACACCTACTTTCAGTGGGGGTAAGCAGATAAGAAATCCACTTCTACATTTGTCAGTGGGATTAACACTCCAAAGAGCAGAACACAGCCTCTCCTTAGTCACTCCACACACAACTGAACTCAGTCTTTCGAGGTCGTTCTTCAATCTCGCTACACCGTGGCTGCTGGCAGAGCAAGTCCGGCCTAGTGGTTTCCACAGCTCCACAGCATTTCCAGATGACCAGTCTGGAAAGGCTTAGATTGCTTTACCATCCAAAGGCACTGAGTCGGATCAAAAAGGAAGAAAAATCCTACTAAAGTGAATCAGTCAATGACGTAATTTACTACATCAATGGCAGAAAAGAAGCAGTTTTTGACTTTACATCTCAAACTTGGTAAACGATGAATGAGTTTCACATAGTGAACCCAAAGGCCAAGAGAAGCATATTTCCAACATGCTGGAAACAAGTTATACGACAGAAGCAGGAAGTGTTTAAAAACACATCAAAAATTATATTCCAATTACAGCATTGTTGGGGATGAAAGCTAGAGGTCAGATTACATATTATACATTACAGATTCCTATTTACAGTCCCCTGTTTAGACCGACTGAAAGTTTATAGAAATGGTACCCATTTTAATGAAGCGTTTCTTGTACTTAATTTCAGTTGACTAATAAAACTTTCTGATAAAAAAGAAAAATAACCAATCTAGCTGATTCTAATTTCCATATAGTAAGAAAGCTAACATTTACCGAGAAATTTACTATGTGTGAGTCAGTATGGCAAGTGATTTGCATTAACATAAAAAATAAGAATAGTATTCCTTTGAGATGAACTTTGTCTTTTCAAAGAAAAAAGGTGCCTTACTACTGGAAAATTAAATTTAAAAAATGGGTGATTAAAGAAACAATTATTGGCCTATATTCAAAAAATGAAGCTTTAAAAGTACATCTTCTAAAGCATAAAATTCTACATGAATTCACATAGGCATAGTTCAGACTTGGCATACATTTTTTTCACTTGAAGAAACTGCTCTCTCTTGAGAAGATTTCCTTTCTTTAAGCAGAGGTTGGCAACTGCGGCCCGAGGGCCAAATCCAGCTGGCCACCTGTTTTTGTGTGGCCCATGAGCTAACAATGGTTTCTACATTTTTAAATGGTTAAAAAAAATCAAAAGAACAATAATATTTCATGACACGTGAAAATTACATGAAATTACAATTTCAGTGTCCAGAAATAAAGTTTTACTGGAACACAGCCACACTCGTTTATGTTCATGTTGTCTATGGTTGCTGTCATGCTACAACCACAGAGGTGAATAGTTGTGACACAGACCATATGGCCCACAAAACCTAAAATATTTACTTCCGGCCCTTTACAGGAAAAGTTTGCTGACCTCTGCTTCTAAGCAGAAACCAGAAAGTTAAATATAACATCCAGGTTTATGTCTCTGGGGTTTGAAATGTTGACTTCTAGAAGAATTGAGGTATATGCTTGGTCTCCTTAGTATTAAGCATATTCATGCCATATTTGATTGCAGCACGATACTTAAATTTGACAGATAAATAAAATGGGTTTACAGCAGTGTTCTCCACTAGGGGTGATTTTGTTCCCCAGGGGAACCTCTGGCACTGTCTAGAGACAGGTTTAGCTGTTACAACTCGGGGATGCTACAGGTATCTAGTGGCCAGAGGCCAGGAATGATGCTAAACCTCTGACAGCCTCCACGAGAAGAATTATCTGATCCAAAATGTCAACAGTGCTGAGGTTGAAAAACTCTGGTCTACAAGAAACTGAGTTTCTACATGAAACTAATTTCTAGACTATTCTTCCAATGCAAACACAACTGCTACTTGGTGACATTAATTTATTCCTATTACTCATGCCATATTTATATTAATATTTATAAGAAAGAGAAAGATAAATTTTTCTTTATTTTATGGGTATGTTTTTATGACTAACCACTATCCATCTGTACTATAATAATTTTCAAAGTGGAATATTCTTATTCTCAACTATAAGCCTAAATGGATAATTGTTTTTGTCATCACTCAATTCTGTAGTTTGATTTAAATTAAAATCAGACTGAATATTCTATTTTCAGTTTCTTAAAAGATCTTTTTCTTAATTCTTAACATATAGTACAAGTGAAGTCAATATCCTTCCTATGTCAGAGATGTCTGTGAAGCTTGAATCCAACAAAAGCTATGATAGACTGGGTGCGTAGGAACGCAGGAAGATGAGCCACAAGACCACTGCAATGTAAGTGGTTTAAATGGTTTAAAAGATGAAAAAAAAAATGACAATACAAAGGCTGACAAAATACCCATATTAAGCAGATTTCAAGTTGAGGGAAATTTTCAAGACTGCATTACAGGCTCTAATCAAGCGACATTCACTTATCACTAAACTTTTAAATCTCTGATCCTCTGCAACGTTCTCTCCTAAAATTGGGACAAACGGAATCACTTTAGGAACTCTATTTTTATATTTCTGTATAAGAAGGGTGTGTCCCATTTACACATGAGTGTTTTTGATCCTTGAACGCCACATTACTGGAAACCTAGCTACACATTTTCTAGAATTTGTGACCTACCACTTTACTTTTAAAATATTTAAAATTGTAGCTAGGAGCTTGTGAAATAATCACCTCTTATAAATTAAATACTTAAATGTGATCTAATCTTGTAGAATTATTTCTGATTTTGTCATATTAAGCTACTGCCAGTCACTTACCTCTCTCAAAATCTCCCATTTCCACACACATGAAATATATTTCTTGCTTATAAACACGCTCTTTCATATTTCACAACACCGTACCTTTTCGCCTGTGTCACCTTTGGGGCCATTCTCTCCAGCATCTCCCTAAGAGAGGAAAAGGCAGTACACGTAAAATACATTGGTGACATTAAGCAAAGAGTCGTTTTCATTAGTTTTAAACACTACATATTAAAATCTGTTGTAAACGTTCTACGAAGCTAATGTAGTTTTACATGACCAGCTGCCTGATATCAATTGGTCTGAATAAATTTTATTACAATGAACACGGTTAAAGAGTTTTAAATGACTCCATGACATTAACAGAAAGCAGTGATTTCTTGGACTCCTAACAGCGTCCTCTGGCGCTGAAACCTCGTTAACTCTACCCCTTTTCCCTCTGCTCAAAGCTTTGCTGTAACAAAGACTTCCTCCTGACCTTTCCCCCAATATGCCATGTGCTTACACCTCTGGGTCCTTCCTCTTGCCATTTCTGCCACCGGGACAGCTGCCCTCTCCTTGCCCTCAGTCTGCAACAATCTTACTGTGTCTTCAAGCTCAGCTCAAATCTCCAGGGCCTCGAAGTGCCTGACGCAGCCCTCAAAACCTGTGCCCTGAATACTGATTTACCTGGGCCTACATGTTTTGCATTTGTGAAATAAATGCTTTATATTTTATTAGAAACTCCTTTTTTTAAAAATCAGAGTAAAATAAATTGGGGAGTTTATGCTTCCTTAGTTATTTTTGAGACTTCCAATGCCTACTCTCTCACTGACATCTCCTTCCTACCCACAAAGCAACGCATCAGAAAGAAGTCATTCAGTTATTAGCCACGCTTTGCTTCCTTCAATTCTGAATTCCTTAAGTTAAGTCTTACAGCAAGTTATGGTGGAAACGTCACGGACTTTGGAGCCAGAGAGACTGAGCCTGGCTCCAGCACCTACTGGGCAAATGAAATTCTCTTTGCATCACGTTTCTTGTGTGCAATGTAAGGGCAAGAACACTTTATGGGGTTGTAAGAAATAAACAATATACTGTGTGTGAAGCAACTAGGACAGGATCCGACACACCATCAGCTGTCAATGACGGCCGTTAGCAAGAACAACGCATTATTGTTCAGATATGCCGTAAGCTGCAATGCCCTTCTGTCTTGCTTCATAAGAGGTCACTTATCTATCATTTAAAAATTTCCTTAAAATAAGACATAGACTATTGACAATTTCCATGGGAGAAGGAGCGGTGGTGAGGGAGGGAGATGTTCACTTTTTTTCTCTGCATTCTCTTTTCTTGTTTCAAATAAGCATGAAGCTAACCTGGCCAGGCATCTGTCTATGGGGATGCAAACACCACAACAGGCAGGCGCCTGAGCCACTTCATCTGAGGAATCCTGGACGGGTGCTGGCACCGCTCCTTTCCCTCCTTAATTTCTACACAAAAGAATCATCTGATGACTAATTCATTTCAAGTTAATTACCATGAACTGGTTGGATGCCAAATAAATGTACTGATAATCTGTTATGAGGGATCTTTCATAGGCAGCCTATTAGCATACTTTAAAAAAGTGCTTGAAAATCCCTTTACTAAAAAACAAACAAACAAAACAAACTTCCTTACTAGGAAAACTGGCTCAGAATGGTCATGAAGTGAAGGGTTTGACTGAGCCATTTTGCTCAGTTCTTCCCTGTAAGTAAACGTCCTTTTTCTTTTTGTTTTACAGTGTCAAAAAATACAGTTACATTCAAGAAGCTTGCGGATCTTTAGATGCACTTCTTTGGGAATTGGTGGTGATAATATTGATTTGTCAGAAAGACCGTGTCACGTATGAAGAGCATCACACGGTATCTTGGTAGTTGCCTATGCGGACAGCACACTTCTCAAACACGATGAAAGGAAACAGCATGAGAAACAGGAAAATGAGCACCGCAGCGGGCACTGAGGGTCCCAATAATTAGCACCTGCTCGGAAGTAGTAAGGAAGGACATCTGAGCAAATTTAACACATGGCACTCTGCTTCGCCTTTTGTTTCTCTTTTCGATTTTTATGGGAATTCTGTGTATTTGCTGCAGGTGAACATCTGTACTCCTTTAACCCAACAACCTGAGAAGCAGCAGAGAGCAATGTGGATGCTTAGAGAAGTACCGGAGAGGCATGAGCAAGTAGGGGACAGAAATTTTGTGAGCCTAGGGGTTTTTAAAAGCCATTTAAAAGCCTGATACAGAATGTTTAAATTTGCTCCCTTTCCCTTCATTTATTTAAATCTTTTATACTCAAACTTCTCTCCATATGTAAGAATTACACTATTTTCTCCTTCCACTAATTAACAGTTTGAAAAGAACAATTGTCATTGTATCTATCTATATTTATCTATCCATATATATATATATATAGTTCAGTTTGGTAGCTTTTCGCGGGAAAAAAGACAAATACAGGCAGAATTATTCTTACCTTTTCTCCTTGTTCTCCAGGTTCTCCCTGGTCAAAAGAACAAAGATTGAGTGATATTAAATTATAAAACACCTAATTAAGCAAACAAAATCAGATGTTTAACTAGACACTTCCTATTTTGGGCCATATATAGTGGCTATATGAAAGCAAACAGTAAGATGAGTTCCTGGAGAATTGGATATGGATATGAATATCAAATGTAATCTTAATTCTTTGTTTTCAGAAGACTAAAGAAAGATATTGGAGATTATCCCCAGAAACTGGCTTTGGAGGCACTAAGGAGAACAACATGGTGGCGAGTCAACATCTCAGCCTACGACTTTTTACTCTGCCCCAAGTCAGAATCCATAAGGAAGGCTAGCACATTCTTCCACGAAGCCTTTTATTCAAAGCAGCGCCTGGCGTGTGGGTTTTTTCAGGAGTCCCAAGTCCCAGTGTAGCTCCCCAGCCCATCTTCCCCTAACGTGACCATAAACACAGTTCTGAACTTGGACCTTTGCACACTGTCGTGAACTCTCTTCAACCTGCTGGTAACCAGCATGTTCCAAATCAGGTGTATTTTAGGAGGCACTGGCAGCTTCAGGAAAGACACCAGAAAAGAGCAGAATCCAAGTGAGTTTAAGAGAGATGTCTTTACTCAAAGTGATGACCAGGACAGTACGAGGACTAAAACGCAAAATTGTGCTCTGAAGAGAGTCTCATTTTCACTTTACCAGGAAGAGACAGGGGGTCGGGGGCAGAGGGGGAGAGTTCTAAAGCAAATCATCCACATTATGATAATATTCCTCTTAAGAAAAGCTTGACTTATTTCACTCAGCAGAATACCCTCAAGGACCATCGATGTTGTCACAAATGGCCAGATTTCATCATTTCTTATGGCTGAGTAGTAGTCCATTGTGTATATATACCACATCATCTTTATCCATTTGTCCCTTGATGGGCACCTAGGTTGCTCCCAAGCCTTGGCTATTGTGTATAATGCTGTAATGAACATAGGGGTGCGTGTATCTTTATGCCTTCGCATTTTCAAGTTCTTTGGATAAATACCCAGCAGTGGGATAGCTGGATCATATGGTAGATCTATTCTTAATTTTCTGAGGATACTCCATACTGCTTTCCATAGTGGCTGCACCAGTTTGCACTCCCACCAGCAGTGTATGAGGGTTCCTTGAGGGTATTATGCTGAATGAAATAAGTCAGAGGGAGAAAGTCAAGTACCGCATGATCTCACTCATAAGTAGAAGATAAAAACAATGAAAAACACATGCATAGCAATGGAGATTGGATTGGTAGTTACCACTTGGGAAGGTGGGGTAGGGCAAAAGGGGTGACTAGGCTCACATGTGAGGGGATAGACTATAATTAGTTTTTGGGTGGTGAACATGATGTAACCTACACAGAATTCAAACTATATTATGAAGTACATCTGAAAGCTATATGTTGTAATCCAATGTTACTGCAATTAAAAAATAAAATAAAATAAAAATAAAAAAAAGAAAAGCTTGAGTAAATATTGCCATAAGATGAAACTGCTTTAAAAACGATTTTTAAAGTGGTTATTGTTTTTTAAAATTATAACCCACTCCAGAAGCCAGTTTGAAAGCAACACTCCTCATTCCCTGAAACTCGGCCTGACCCTTTGGCTTTCTGAATTTCTGGCCACCTTTCACTGCTCAGCATCCATCCGGGTGGTCGCTAGGCAACGGAAGAACAGCACTGAGAACGTGCATTAAGCATTAACTCCCATCCTTGGGTTTTTTTGCATGGAGCTAGAGTGAGAAGAAGGCAGGAGAATGGCTGTGGTCCCAGAAGGACCATTTTCTTTCCGCTCCTGCAGGACAAAGGACAGGTCTATAAATTTTACGTCTGTCCTAGGAGCCTGTCAATAGCAACGTGATCTGTAAAATCAGCTGACAGGCATCTGTGGGCACGGATACACACCAGCACAGCTGACGGGATTAGACATCAGTTTTATACTTCAAGGGATGTTCACTCATCAAAGGATTTGGGATTTGTCTGCCTGTTTGGTTGAAATGAAACTGTCACCAATCTTTTTATATTTAACAGATTCGTTTGTTCTTCAAGTAACAAAGAAAACTTGTAATCCAAAAAAACTCCTCATTACATTTTTTCTCTATTTAGTAATTCAGATTATATTCATTTTTAAATTTTAAACATCTTTATTCTGCTCTTAATTTAATTTGTTGGTTATGTTGTGTAAGTGCTGGAGATGGCCAAATTTTGAGGAAATGCCACAGTGGCATTGTGAACATCATCTTTAGTAAGCCTTGTAAATAATGCACAAATTTTAGGCGGTATGGACACAACCTGTGTTTTAATATGGTTATTAAGTGGTAAAAAGACAATGGTAATATTTGAAACATAGACTTTCTCCTGTTATTTAAGTATCTCAGAATAAAAATTTTAAACAATCATATCCTATTTGTTTTTCTGCATTTTTAATGCTAATGAGAATCACAAACATAATTTATTCATTAATCACAAAGTCCTATACTATAGCATATTATACTACTGACCAAAAACTCCATCCAAGTCAAACCAGTGGGACACAAAAAAATTGTAATAGCTTACAATTTCATGAAAACTCATGTGTCAAATGATTCTGCTTGGTTTTATTCGCACTCACCTTTGGCCCCGGTATTCCATTCTGTCCTACTGCTCCAGGCAACCCGGGCTCACCCTCAAAATAAAAAACAGATACTACTCAATAAAATAGACAAAATCTACACATTACGTAGATCATTAGAGGACATAACCATCAAATAATGCTCTAGAGGTAGCTAGAAAATAAGTGACTACTAGTATAAACACAAGTTAGATTGTGTGGTCCAGAATTCTATGTGCTAGGGACTAAGGACATGACAGGGTTAATTTCCTTTGTTCAGCCTTTTCTCCATTAGGAAAACTGAAGCAGGGGCTGGCCCCATGGCCAAGTGGTTAAGTTCTTGCGCCCTGGGCACAAGAACCTTGGCAGCCCAGGGTTTTGTCAGTTCAGATCCTGGACACGGACCTAGCACTGCTCACCAGGCCATGCTGAGGCGGCGTCCCACATAGCAGAGCTAGAAGGACCTACAACTAGAATATACAACTATGTACTGGGGGGCTTCAGGGAGAAGAAGAAGAAGAAGAAAAGAAGATTGGCAACAGATGTTAGCTCAGGTGCCAGTCTTAAAAATAAAAGGAAAGCTGAAGCAATTTACCAATGGAAATGAATGTCTAGCATGGTGCTAGGTACATTGCAGGCATCAAATCAACATTTGTGGAATGCAGAAAATACACCCGAAAATCTAAGACTCTCTTAATGGAGAACTTTTAAGTGATCCATTAGCTCAGGAAAATAAATACTAAATGATTGTATTTATCAGTCTTAATCAAATGATCATTTCCAAATCTAAATCTTGAAGAACACACGCATCTTTGAAGACCTACTTAATTCATTTAGACACATTCGATGCTAAAGTAAAAATGGCTTGGATCTCTTTTTCCAGTTTTACTGTAAAAATAATCAGAATAAACATTCAGACTTGTGGTTCTTACTGTCACATTGAGTGACAGACATTTGGGGAAAAGATGATGGCTATTAGGCTAGAAAAGTTTCCCATTTCAGAAAGATGATGATGTATACCAGTCTTTCTAGACTCTTCACTAGCAATTGTTTTCCAAGGAGGATAACTTCGTTGAAGTACTCAGAAGCAAAGAAAGAAAGTGCATGGCGACTGCAGTTAACAAGACTGTCCTGTATATTTGAAAGTTGGCAAAAGAAGAGATGTTAGATGTTCTCAGCACAAGGTAAAGAGAAATTATAGCTATGTGAGGTGATGCATGTTAATTAGACTTACTGTGGTAATCATTTCACAATATACACATATATCAAATCATTAAGTTATACACCTGAAAGTAATACAATGTTATATGTCAATTATATCTCAATAAAACGGGGAAAAAAAAAGAAAGATGCTCTGGTTCTCAATGCTTCCACGTGGCTCAGACTTATACCAACCAGAATTTCTTTTTCATGTAAAAACATTCCCAAAGCCATTATCCTGTGCTTCAACTACTGGACAGCTTTCTTCTTTCCACTGAGGGTAAAACAGTTGCTCCTTACTTGATTTTTTAAAAAAAATAGACTTTATTTTTTAGAGCAGTCTTAGGTTCACAGCAAACTTAGTGCCGGCCTGGTAGCACAGCAGTTAAGTGCACATGTTCCGCTTTGGTGGCCCTGGGTTCGCCAGTTCGGATCCCGGGTGCAGACATGGCACCGCTTGGCACGCCATGCTTTGGTAGGTGTCCCACATATAAAGTAGAGGAAGATGGGCATGGATGTTAGCTTAGGACCAGTCTTCCTCAGAAAAAGGAGGATGATTGGCAGCAGATGTTAGCTCAGGTCTAGTCTTCCTCAAAAGACAAAAAAGAAGGTTTTCTAAGTTACCTGGAGGGCAGGAACTGTGCCATTTTTATATTTGTGCTCGCAGCTTCAAAAACATGTGCATTAGTAATAACGGCAACATTTCTTAGGTGCCAGGACCTCTGCATTCATTAACTCACTTGATTCTCATACATTTCTGTGAGGTAAGTACTATCTTTATCTCTATGGAATAGATGAAAAAACAAGAGCATAGAGAGGTAAAGTGATTTTATCAAAGCCATTCAGATTTACACAACTCTAGCTGATATTTGACCTCTCATGATCTGCCTTAAGAGGTTGTGCTTCTAACACTATGATGCATTGCTGAATGAATGGATGCATCTAGAAACTGGGGGAGAAAGCCGATGATGAATATTTCTATCCTCATTATCATTCGGTTTACACTCCCTGTTTATAAACGACTTTCCAGAATGTATAGAAACCTGAATTAAATATAACTTATATAAAAATGATTTTTTGTACACCCACCAGATAAACTAAGAATTGTGAAGCTTATGGGGTCTATATAGAAGAGGAAAAAATATTTTACTATTATACTGGACTGTTATAAGTGCTAAAGTCTTAACCTCCTGGAAGAAATTCTGCTTCCTATACAAAGTTGCACTACAATCATAACTCTTACACTTTCTTTGGTAAAATGGCAAAAATGTTGACTTAGAATAATGATGGCCATTATAGGAAAATTTTGATATGCCATTTGTACACAACGAAGGGTAAGAACTTGGAAACAGAATACACTCTGAAAGAGGACTATCATTTCCTCTGCACCCAGAAAAAGAGCTATTGAGTCTGCTTTCTTCAAAGACTCTACAACAGGACGCACTAATGTCATCACTCATGGTCTAATGCAAACAAGAGATGCTGCCAGGGAACAATACAAACTCTGTTTAGACTTTCAAAGAATAACCATGGTAGCCAGAAGAATAATAAAAAAAATGGTTAAGCCCCTGGAACCGGACAAAATACATGCTGAGATTTTGAAGCAAAGAAGAGAAACGTTGCTCAGGTATCTGCTTAACATCCGCTTTAATATATGAACTTCGAGGGACTAAACTTGATCTCTATTCTTCGATTTTATATATTGTTAAAATACTCTTTTAACACAAAAGGATACCAAGAAAATTGCACCCATAATCCCATCCCTCTATAATAATTGTTTCACCTTGTCCTGTTTCCTTCTAGTCTTTTTTATTTATGCTTGCATATCTTCAAGAAATTGTTAGCTTATAGCTTGACATTCTGATTTTTTATTATTTTATACCACACATTTCTTTCCCACAGTCTTCTTGACTGTCTTGTGAATAGTTTATCATCTTTCAAAGTCAGGTGGGGTCATCCGTTTAATCTGTGCGAATTGCTGAATACTTAGGTTGTTTCCCGTTTTCGCTATTAAAGATAAACTAAAATAAACACCTTTGTAAATATTTCTAAATTGCTTTCCAAAAGTGTCCTGAGTCTTATCTGCTCTTATAGGTACCCCCTCTGTGTTACGTTTTCACTTTATCAGCATTGGATACACAATTCAACTACTTTTGTGGCTATTTTAATAAGCACAGACAAGAGTTTACTGTTGCTCAGTTTTCCATTTATCACTTGTAAGGTTAAATATTTTTTCATGTGTTTATAATTTAAAATAGGTATCTCACAAAATTTTAAAGCTAAAAAGTGAATAAAGCTGTTTCCTGAATGAATCAAGGGAGGATGAAGAAAGGGAAAAATGACTCATAGAGTTTCACCTTTCTAATAAGTTACATCAAGAAAAACACATTCAAACTTAGATTAGGAGGCTATGGAGCATTCTGTTAGAGTACAAACTTAGTTTCCTAGATTGCGTGAAAGGAAAGCTACAGATGAAATGCTGTACAACTCTGAGCACTCAGGCCAAGCTCTGGCGTTCTGGAAGGCACTAATTCATTCAACTAACACTTAGCAAAAATTTACTATATGTCCTACTCTGGGCTGAGTGTTTCAGGGATATCAAGAGGAAACAGACATGACAGGCACCTGTGCCTAAAAAGCCTATTTTTGAGTAATAAAAAAAAGACACGTACATAAATAATTTAAGAGGACATCTAACTGACATCATGGAACTTCTGTGTGGGTGTGAGGAAGATTGCCGCTGAGCTAACATCTGTGCCAATCTCCCTCTACTTTATGTAGGATGCTGCCACAGCGTGGCTTGACCAGGGGTGCCAGGTCTGTGCCCGGGATCCAAACCTGTGAACCCAGGGCCACGGGAGCAGAGCGCACGAACTTAACCACTATGCCACTGGGCCAGCCCTGATGGAACTTTTTTTTGAGCCAAGTTTTCTTACACTTCATGAAGTAAAAACGCATAATAAATAGAAATCAAAGGAAATCTTAATGAAGAATGAACCACATGTCATATAAGGTATTAATATTTTTTGGTATATGAGGACAAAGTATTATCATGAGGCCTCTTCAAATAAAGTTACAATGATATTCTATTAAGATCTAATGTAGTACAAATATACATGTACAGAAAAACACATCAGAAAAGTACAGACAAAAACATGGGTATTAGGTTTTGTGTGTGTGTGGAGAGCTGGTCTCCTGTTTGTTGGATAATCTATGCATCTATTTCAGAATGCACCTCATATGCACAAGTACGGAGGGCATTCCAAAGACAGTGATGAAAACAACAGCAGAAATCTTACCTGCAGAGAGAGGGGTGGGGTTTTCCCTCCTATACTTTAGATTCTAAGGCTATTTCCAGTGCATTACTCCCAAACGACAATTTGCATATTTAAGCTAAAAATAAGTTGGACTGACTTTTAAGAAGGATGGCTTGCTGCTTGCTTGCTTGCTTTTAAAACCAAATACTCTTTAGAACTCTAATGTAAAACATAACTCAAGGCTTTTACAATTATTTCAGTTACTGCTATTCAGAGGCAACTTGAAAGAATGCTTAAAGATAGAAAGGAATGTGGTTTTCTTATGAAATTGAGTGCTAAAGGGAAATAGGTCATTTAGCAGTAATATTGCTTGCCATCACTTCAGTCACAACTGTTTTCCATTCTGGAAACAGGAATTTAAAATGAGTTATAGCTTTCAGTTTTTAGCATAATATAATTTCACATTCACCTTGCCAAAATAGATTTGTTTCCTTTAAGTACTACATTTTTGCAGAGAACTCATCCAAACAGAAGCGAAAATAACTACAAGGAACATGGACCAGCAGTGGACGGAAAGAGCGATATTGAATATAACATGGCATCAGTCTTACAGTTGCT